ACAACCAATATCACACTAACTTGAAAAATTGAAATAAACATACTACATGGAGACCATGATGTTGAAAGAAATGACAATAATGACGACAAGGAATGCCCAAAAACTAGGTACCAACTTAACATTTCAACACAAATGCAGCAATTTTCACTAAGGTCTTTTAATTAAATTCATCCAACATTTTTTACATAGGGTGGAATGTAATACCAGCAATAAAGAGAAGAACCAAAATAGTCTTCCTGTCTATTAAACTGTTGCTGCTCTTTAATTTTTGCCATTTCTGCTACTAGTCCAATCCAAAAAATAAAGTCGAGCAAAAAACAATGCTTACTAATCTACTCTGAGTGCAATGGTTTAAAAAACAAACACCTGGCAAATCTAGCCGACCGTGCTTGGGAAATTTCCTGCGACTCAGCATCAGGTTCTCGTCCTCTTCTTCTTTAGCTRCTGYCCTTTCGTTCTCTGTCACCTCTTCAAAGTCGCAAGCGGTTCAACGCTGTCATCATGAGGTCACAGGTTTTCASATGCTGAGAAGAAACTCTGATTTGAAGAATCGGAGTCATTTTCATAGCGGTTTGCTTCATTTTCACTCTCCATTTCATTGTAACTTTCTTATAAAAACATCGAATCAAGAAGTCTGAGTCAGTGACGTCACTAACCTTCTCCTCGGAAGACACCGCAGTCTTTAGTATTTGGGGCTCAGATATCGAACCGATTAATRGCGGACGGGATTTTTACTACTTTCGAAGCTCGATTTCTCATATTCTTTTGACTTTTTCGATAAAGAAATTAGCCAGCATGCTTAGTTAGACTTCAAAGTACTGGATTATTCACAAAAAACTCTTTAAAAAGAACGTTTTTTAACTCGGAGATTGCGTTAGCAAATATTCACTTAATTTGGTTACTATAGTAACTTCTATAATATTAAAATTGTGTAATTTCAGCTATTTTTCGTTGCGAAATAAATTTCAAGTTCCCACCAAGTTTCGAACCCGCGACCTCTGGACCGATTGTGCCACGGTGACACTTTGATGATATTTGGCGTGTTTTAGTAGTTTTATTGGGAGCACCGCTGTTCGAGTCCGGCTTGAGACAGGACATTTTTTTTTCTTTTTTTCTTTTTGATGTTTTGGAGATTCTCTTTTCTTTTTCTCCTTTTTCTAATAATAACAAACATGTTTCTGCATAAAGTTTTGTTTTTAAGAAATTCTTTTAATTTTTGCGATCGGTAAATAAAATAAGGTTCACCATGATGGGTTTCCTGTGTTATATGCTGTGGATTCAATCGATATTTGCCGAAAACAACTGACCCATCGCACTACGTTAAAAACCTGGATTCAAGAGGAGAAAAAATTGTAAAAATTATATTGTTTGACGTAGAATTGTACCGATTGCAATAAGTTTTGACTGGGTTTTCGCTTCGAGTACGTGTCAACATGGCGTCTCTGCTAAAAGTAGCTTTCATGGCCTTATAAGTAAATAAACTTCAAGCAAATGGACGGTTTCTATTCCGCTTTAGACTTCAAGGTAAGATAATAATGTACAAAGCTTAGCAATGACRTACTTAAATCTTAAGTTTATCATATGAATTACAAATCAAACCTTTTAGGCTGTGTCAACCAATTGTCAACCTGCCCCTGAGTATTCATTGTTTTCAAATTTTTAGCTTACGTACTGAGACTAAATCATTAATTTCATCGCTAAACCCAACCCAAACCTTACCCTAAACCTAACCTAGAGCTAACCAAGGACTTTTGTTCAGTAATTCTGTATTTTTTTTCGCAAACGGACATTTTGACTTCCACTAWTTACACGGCAGCCGGGCATGTAAGTTGAGACAGAYACTTCGAACTTTATGTCGCCTTTGTTAATTTACATGTAACTTAAGCTGAATAGAAGCTTTTCCTTTTATAAATTTCGATGTCTCTCTGAACTAATAAGCTTTTATTTTTATCAATAAACCTTAATCCGCTTAACAGTGATTGGAAGAAAAGCACTGGAATAATTCTGCAAAACTGCAAATCAAGAGCATAAAGAATAATCAAAAGAACAATGTGGATTTCATACTTCAAGAAAGGAGCTCAAAACAAAGTCCAATTCACTTGTTCTTTCAATATATGAAGGCATTAGCTACTCAAATTTTTCACTAATAACTTATCTTGTTAGTTAATACTATTTTTTTAATCCAATTTAAATGTTGAATTGCATTTTTCCCAATATTGTTCTGATCTTATTGTTCTGATTTTTTATGATCACCTATTTACATGTTTTTGTAAATAACTTATCTAATGTGTTAATAAAATGCTCAAAATACAGCTGACCATCTTGCAAAAGCAGCTCTTACAATCTCCGAGTTATGTTGCCATTGGCAGNTACAGAATTTTGGACACTTACATCATATTTACATCAAATTTACAACCTTTAAGGCGCGCGATTTTTTCCAGTGAAATGACGTCATTTACTCCAACATTTTTTGCCCAAACTATCAAGGATTTGTATCAATATCTCTTGATATCTGTTGCTTCATGGTTAATACACCCACATATAAGGATAGGTCTATTTGATCTCCAAGTCTCCTTGAATATAAACTGATAACGAATACATCATTGACATTCTTATAAAGGAATGGCTACATGCACAGCGACACCGCCACCAACTTCAAAAAGTTGTCAAAAGACCAATCACACTCGGCTCTGCAGACTTTTAACTGACATTGGAACCAAAGTGTTGAGAGGAATTCATGATTCACAACATCCTCCTGCTGTTCTACAAAACCACTTGAACTCACCCGCTGTTAAAAWTACATTGAAAAGTCTGAAAACCAAAAGAATTCTAAACTTAAATCAGTGGGACAAGCTATACCCAGCATCAGGAGTGGCATCCTCAAACACTTTTGACATAACATTGCTCTTCCTTCTCCTAAGGAATACCTGTGATCTTACTCCACCTACTACAGGATGGGATGCTGCACCTTTACCAGAGGATGTTAGTAAGGAGGCTGACCTGATTCGAGTAAAGCGATGTCGAAATGAAGTTATTGGTCATAGTACTGTTGCAGAACTCTCTGACGCTGATTTTGAAACCCGCTGGGCTGAGATCGAGGCAGCATTAATAAGACTTGGAGGATCACTGTATGAGCCTGAAATCCAGCGTCTGAAAATCGAGTCACTGGTTCAGTCCTTGGTAGAAGGAGACGACAAGAAAATTRATGCAATCTTAGAAAAGCTTAATCAACCATCGCAAGATAGTGAACATTTAGTTCCATTTTGCAATTTACCTCAAAAACCATCCCACGTCACCATTGGCCGTACCAGTGAAGTGTCAAAGATAATGGCGGAGATTCAAAGACTACAATTGACGTATTCAAATGAAGTAACWGTCACATACTTGTCTGGAAATCCCGGTTGTGGTAAAAGTGAGCTTTCCAGACAGATTGGAAAGAAATATTTTGATGAAACAGAGGAATCGATCAAGTGTGTGATAACACTCAACGCATCCAATCTGGAAAKCCTATCGCAATCATACATGGACCTGGCATACCAACTTCAATGTAACGAACTATCCATAACATCTATCATGAATACAAATAATTCACAAGAACAGAAACTTACTCAAATGAAAGGACTTGTTAAACCGAAGCTACTTAAATACTCCTCATGGTTGATGATCGCTGATAACGTTGAAGAACTTCAATTAGTGTTAAAGTATCTCCCTCATCCAGGACAAAAGCTTCATTCTGGCGGAAAAGGACACATACTGATTACCACACAAGATAGCCAATCTATACCACTGAGTGATCCATATTCATTTCAGATGTCCTTGAGCCATGGTATGGATCCCATCGAAGCTGTGAGATCCCTGCGCGATATTTCTGGGTATTTTGATGAAGGAGAAATTGTACATTTTGTTGCGAAGGAACTTGATTTCCAGCCTCTAGCACTTGCTAGTGCAGCTGTATATATGCACCATGTACGCATTTCAGATCCTACAATGACATGGGAAATCTACCTTCAAACCATTAAAAATGGAAATCGAGAATCAGCGGATAAACKTTATGAAAAAACCAACAAGGCGGCATATGAAAAATCTATGACGACTGCTGTTAGTATGGCAGTCAAAAAGTTGACAGAAGAAAGCAAAGTAATGCTTCATGCTTGTGAATTTTTGGCTGCATTGGCTCCAGAGTTCGTATCCCTCGTTCACGTTGTAAATTATGTCATGAAGTGCATGCCAGACGAAGATGCAAAGTCCATAGAAGTAGAGATCATAAATTCGTCCCTCATTCTTACCTCGAGGGACAAACACGAACGACGTGTTGAACTTCGTGTTCATCAAGTTGTCTTCAGCGTTTTTCAATCAATAGTGGAAAGGTTGTATGTTACAGAAGAAGAAGAATTGTCATATTTGACAAAAGTGATGGAAGTTTTTTCATATATTGAGGGAAACCATGAAGAGAGTATGGAATATATTATATCTACAGGCAGGCTTGTCTCACATTTTATAAAATTATCCAAGAAAATCGAAACCTTTTTCAAGAGAAATGAAGTTCTGCTTTTGACAGAAAAGGACGAATATGGAGTACGTTACAGCTTCATAAATAGAAGAACAGCCAGTGAATATCTTCCACTAGCGAATCTAATGTTCTTTGTATTGTCTCGTGTGTTAAAGAGGCACGGGAAATACGAAATTTCAAGAATTTTATTAGAATTTTGTATTGCCTTAGAACGAGCTCAAATGTCCAGTGCTGAGCAATCGGGAATCMTTTTACCTGATGTCGATAATGTGCAATTGGCAAGTATGCTATTCGACTTTGCTTATATATTAGACAAATTCGGTGAATATTGCGAAGCTAAAATGTGTTATGATCATGCCTTCAACATTAACACAAGGAAATTTGGAAACAATAGCGCTATCGTAGCTGCGAATTTTGGTGGTCTAGGAAGAGTATTGAGAAATCTCAGTAGATTTCCAGAAGCTATGGATTGCTACGAAAAGTGTCTTGGCATCCAAAAGAGAATTTACGGAAACAATCACATTAGTGTAGCTGCAACTTTAAATAACCAAGGATTAGTTTTGAGAGATATTGGAAGATATAAAGAATCAAAAGATTGTTATACAAAGGCTCTAGATATCTTTGTAGCCACGCTAGGTGACAAGCACCCAGATGTGGGTGTAGCTTTAGGAAATCTAGGAACAGTGTTGAGAGGTCTAGGGGAATATGCCGACTCCAAGGAGTGTTGCGAAAAAGCCCTCAACATTCACAAAATGGTGTACGAGGAAAGCCACCCTACTATTGGAGTTCACCTATATTTCTTGGGGCTTTCACTACATGGCTTAGGTGAATACCAACAGTCCAAACTCTTCTTTGAAAGGTCCCTTGCAACTCTTCAAGCTGCCTATGGTGAAGATCATCCACAAGTTGCAAAGACRCTCAACGCGCTGGGACAACTTCAGMTAGAACAGGGAGATAACGAACAAGCCAAAGTGAATTTGGATAGAGCACTGATGATCAATGAAACACATTTTAGCCAAAATCACTCTCAGTTAGCTGTCACGCTGAACAACCTTGGGAGACTCTCAGAAAACGTTCATGAATATGAACAAGCCAGGCGATATTTCGAGAGAGCGCTAGCCATCAACGAGAAAACATTTAATGAAAATCACYATGAAATTGCCATTACTTTAAACAACCTTGGCAATCTCTTGGTTAAACTAAAGAAAGACAAAGAAGGGAGACTTTGCGTGGAAAGAGCCCTCGTCATCAAAGAGAAGAATCCAGATTACGCATTTAAATTTTAAATGCCTATTACTTAGCTTGAAATTAGAGCTTTACAAACGTGTCTTTTCTTTTTCGTACAGTGTGAAATCCTCATATAGTTAAACGGCATATGCAAAATGGACGTACTTACATATGACACTTTGAGCTCATTGAAAAAGGAAGTATGTTTTAGGGTATCACTTATAACCAGCTCCGGGCATGCACTTAACTGTAAAACAAGCAGAATTTGATTTGAAAAGAATTGGATCATACTTGGACTTTAGCGTCTAAGAGAAGCATACACTTCATTGTCATTTTGCTTTTGGTTATGTCAAATTTTAATTTGTAAAAAAAGGTAGTGCATGAGCGTCGGTTATGTCAAAGAGCTTTTTAGTACTGATACCACCTCATAAATATAATGTATTTTTTATATGCAAATCTATTTTATATATGTCCCAAAAAAGTMTTTTTCAAATACTCCAGTTTCGAGTTCATAGCGAAAAACCGCTGCTTTATTTGACAACAGATTCTCTTGCGAAAAGACCTGACCAAACACAAAAGAGAGCACGAGAAAATGTCGTTATTATAATAGCCTTGAAAATTTGCAATTTCCACGAGTTGAGACTAACCCTGTATTCCCATGAGACCTAAGGTATGAGCCTTCTGGGAATACAGGGTTAGCCTCAACTCGGGGAAAATGTARATTGTTAGCGCTATTGTACTAACAACATTTTCTCGTGCTTTCTTTTGTGTTTGGTCWGGTCTTTTCGCAAGAGAATCTGCTGTCAAAAAAACAGCGGTTATTCGCTTGGAATTCGAAAATGGAGTATTTTGTAATTTTGTACAAAAACCTTAGTGCACAACAAAAGAGAAAATGAGAATAAATAAATAGAGTGTATAAGCATGTTTTCAATAAGTTATATGCTTTTGTATTAAGTTTAGAAAGTATTATATATTATATTTAGCATATATTAGACCCTCTTKGATTGGTCGAGAACTCTGTGGTATTTATGTACAAAGTCACCACCATTTAATCTCAATTGTGCTCTGATTTGTCGCAACCAGTGCACGCACTCGGTTGTTTTCGCAAAACCGTTTCACATTGTGACGTCATCTGTGTACCTATCAAAGCTGATTTACACGGTACGATTTGTCGCGCGCGACTTGTAGTATACGACTTGAATCGCTCAGTGTAAATGCCCCTACGACTTGTGTACAACAGTCGTACGCAACCTATGACTTGTAGTMGGGTTTTGAACCACTRCTTAAAATCCTACGACTGGTAGTATGAAAATCGTATACTACAAGTCGCGCGCGACAAATCGTACCGTGTAAATCAGCCTTTAGAGTACAGATGCATAGAAAAATAAAATCAATTTGGTAAAAAAAAAGAGCAATCGGGTCACCATCTCGTCACTATATTAGACATAGTTGGAAACCGAAAATTTATTCAAGCACCATACATTATCATAAGTTTGAGGTAATTTAATCAATAACGATACTTTATGCCTTTTGGGAATATAGACTAAATCAAAGACTTCKTGCAGACGAACTAAAACTGTAGTTACGTTCTTATGCAAACCAGCGAGAAAGACCTAGTTCCGTGTACTGGGATAAATGTACTTCGCTCTCTTCGGCTAACTATCGCGCTCGCCTGTTTGGCTACAGTATACTCGCACCAGCCTGACTCGAAAAAATAAACCAACAAAATGGCGGTCAACTAAATTCTATGTTTACACAACTAGACTAGACATCAATCACTCGATTTGAAAAAGGGCATGTTTTGTAATGCAACTTTAAAAGAAAAAAAAAATATTACATTTGGGCTCAGACGGGAATCGAACCCGTGGCCTCTCGCACCCAAAGCGAGAATCATACCACTAGACCACTGAGCCCCTACATACTATAAAGCTGAACAAACAGCAAGTATTTWCTGCCTACCACGTCAATCTCGTTTTAACTTAAAATTTGTTTGTTTGTGGCCCTCAACCAGAATGAAAAATCAATGTAAAAGCCTGACATATAACTATCGTTTGATATGAAATACACACTTTCTACTATGGAACGAATTTCTAAAAGCCACCCGTTGCACCAGCTTGTGGGCCACACGGTTGACAAAGTTTCTTAGCGAGGGTGTACACATATTCCTTTTGCTGATGATGTGTGGCGACGCCTTTTCTATGCAGCAAAGCATGATGCTAGCTGCATTTCCCTTAATTTTTCATGTACACTTAAACAACCTAGCCTCCTTCGCAGTCTACTCCAACGGAAACGGACATTTTTCTCTTCTTGGTCTTCCTGTGTTCATATTCTTGACCGAGAAGAACTGGTGTCGAGAGATTAGGAATTAACAAATACTCCTCCTGCTTTTTCTTCCTTCCCAGCCCCCTCCCCCTCCGGTAGCTTTTTGTCTTAACACAGGAATCCCACGAAGTACAGTTGCCTGCGAAGGAGGCTATAAACAACCATCAAAGTCATTGCATACAAAAGCTTGTATCAAGYTCAGGTGATCACGCACACCACAATGTCCGACTATAACTCCGATTTGAACCTTTTTCCTCATTTTGTCAGAAACGGTTCTAAAATGTCGACTATTACCGTTGGATATATAAAATGTAATATTTAAGCTTTAGGAAAATCGTATTTATTTTGAAAAAGTATGAAAAATAAGGGTCGCGCACTTACACAAGACGATCTGAGCCCTTGTCAYCACTTCGGGTAACACAGACTGTAATATTATTGCCATATTCAAAAAGAACGGCAAACTTGCTATAGATTTTGATGTACAAGTCAGTGCCCATATTTTCAGAAACTTTAAGGGGTCAAAACGCAATGAAAGCTCGATCTATTTCATTTCTTATTATTTTGCTGTTTATCGGATCTGTATAAGCCTCGAGAGGCTTTGAATATGGCCCAAACAAAGGCGAATCCGGGGGAAAACGTATAAAAAGGACGGGGGTACTCGTAGGAAATTCTGAAAATGACCCTAAAAGAGACCCGGATTGTGAGAGGATGGGCGTGGCAGTGTTGAAATTTCACCCCTACGAGAGACCAATCAAYAGCAGGTCATTTTGGTTTTCTGATTTTATTTGTGTTTTTGCAAAAGCATCAAACACCGTCGGCTCGTATTAAGTTTATGAAGATTTTTTGGTTGTTGTTGATCTTGTAATGAACGCTTAGGGTTGTCGTATACGAACACAAAACTCAGTTAGTGGGAATTCTCGTCATTATCACCCTAAGCGGGACCAAAACACTGATTTCAAACCCTTTTATTAGGGAGACCCCCCTCCCCCCTGGAGGCAAATATCTAAATGATTTTCCTCGAATAAAGAACCACGAATAAGAGTACTACTACCGTTCAAATATCCCAAGGAATTGAATTTGTTGTATTTAGAAAAAGTAATTAATTTTTAATTGCATCTTTCTRGAGATTAATATTGGGCCCAACAGAAAATTAAAAGTTCTTTTTCAAAGCACATAGACTTCAAACCGACAGCTTCCGTCTTGCCCAAAAGCAACAATTCATTATTTAATTCTTGAAAATTATCATTAAAACTAAGAAAATAGCTATAGCAGGTGGATAGTTTTGACATTAAATTACTTAAATTACTGAAGTAGTTAGCTTTCTCTCTCTATTTTGAAGTAGAAGTTCTAATGATGTCTGTAAACTCGTCATCCAAGCAACCTTTCAACACATCTTTTTAACATTGTTGTTTACTCTTAGAGCTAACACACCTGCAATGAACTAATATAATTTTTTCTTTGCTGATTTTGTTTTGTATGTTTTCCTGACTAGCTTGTCACCTGTTCTGTTTATTCAGTTCCTAGAAGGCAGAGTATACGTTTTTTTCCCTATTTTTCAGTAGTATTGTCGGTCTGAGATTGCTGGGATTGTACGAGCGAAAGTTACTGCTGGAAATAGTCTTGTGGTTGAAAGCTGTCGCCTACTCTCTACCCGATTATACTATTAGTCCATTATCATCAATCCCATTTCGCTCTTTTTCTATAAGTGCTTCTGTTTTATTGAATTGAGGATGCTTTGTAAATAATGTTTTTTTAGTAAATGGATATTCTAAAAAGCGCAAAGCATTTTTATAGCAATTTTAACTACAATTATTAAAGCTCGTGCTGTTGGTGCATGTCGAATGTGCTTTTTAATTATAATCCTAGTTTAAGCAAGATAAATTTGTCGTACAACAAGACGATTTTTTGCGGCGATTTTATTGCAAACACAAATCGCACATGTATACAGCCTTCACATGGCAATTTCTTAGCGACAGGTTTCAGGTTTATCGCAGTAAATTCGAATATTCTCGAAATTTTAATGTAGATTGCTGAGATTTTTCACTTGAACTTTGTATGTGAAATCACCGTGAATTAGCAGTGTATGTTTACAAGTGCGATAAAATCACTGCAAAAAATTTCAGATCGTGTCGCACTATAAAATTGCTATTGTAGTGTAAATAGGCCTTTAGGAAAGTTTTCAGTTTGTGTTGATGCGGTTCAAAGATAGGCCTTTGATAGGGCGTCTTTCATTATATTGATGTGAATACTTAGAGAGTTCATGTTTCGCCATCGAAGGATGATTTGTTGTTTTCATTTTTTTCTCRAATCCATAAATAATCTATCACAATAAAAAGAAAAACAAAGTTACTAGAAAATCACAGAAAAAAATCACAATCTCTATAGGTTGAATGAGACGACACAACTTTTTACCCTAAACCATCGCATGTGACCTGTGCCTACAACCATCGTGGGGCTATTCACGACTTTCAAAAATGGCGCGATATGTCACGGTCACCGACCAGGGCACTGGGGACAAAGCACTAAAACGAGGTCTCGAAGGCGAGCCTCCGTATAGTAAACTTCCTTGGTGTATTGCAAGACTGTTTAGTTATAAATAACATAACATACCAAAACATCACATTCAAACTTTTGGGCATTCCATACATGCGATTTTCGCAGTGATTTCTAGATGAAAGGTTGATGTGTTGTTTAACATGTTATTTTTACTAATGAAAGTAACACATTTCTCTATGTAGTGGAGAGCTTCTCCCAGGGGCTTTTGGGAACATGGGAACAAGAGCATTTTTTCATGGGAACAAGGGATATTAAAAGATTATTTTTCGGGATAAAGGGAACTTTAGATGCCATAAATGGGAACAAAGGAACATAAATTTCAATATTTAATGATTTTTTTTTAATGATTTACTTTTCAAATGAGATAAAAAATACAAGCTTATATCTCCGATTTATTGTTGTTGTGTTACATTTGAGCCACGCAAGCATGCTGGAGTTTAATGCCTTCGACAAAAAATGTGTTGAAGCAGCCATGGAACTTATTGGTAGCAAAATAGTAACCAAAGGTCCACAAGGGACGACTGGAAAGCGATTATTTTCATTTTGGATAGAAAAAGTAGCCATAAAATGAGGTAGGAAGAGTAAATAAAGTTGAGGAACAATTACCAAAATGTAGGGAACACAATTTTTTTATAGGGATGAATAGCACATGGAGTAAAATAGTTTCAAGGAACAAAACAATTTTTTTTATGGGGAACAAGGGATAAAACGGGGAAAAATTAAGGGAACAAGGGAACTTGGAACCCCCCCCCCCCCCCCTGGGAGGGACTCAGTGGAAGTAAGAAAAATGTTTTTACGATATAATTTGCTTTCTTGTGCAATTATATGATCAGAATATAACATGATCGCTCGGAGATACGGATTTTAGAGATCTTTTCAACACTCGAAGATAAAACCCGTATCTTTGCGGGCCCGTGTAATATCCTCTCTCTCAATAATCTCACTTTATTTTTTTTATTTGTACGTATCTCAATCAGTTATATGCGTCAAGCATATTCCCACTTGATATCCTGTGGAAAATGGAACAGCTGTGSTTTCAGTTGGCATCAGACGTACACTACAAAATGTATCTCTAAAGTCCCGTTTACACTTGCAGTTTTTGCGGCGCGATAACCGCCACTTTGCTATTGCGTAATTAAAATCGTACGTGTAAATAGCCCTGCGATTGTTGCGGCGATGGAAACTCAGGCGTTGTTCGCGCGACGATCGTCGCGAAATTCGCTCTGCAAAAATCACAAGTGTAAACGGGGCTTAAAAGTCATAAAAAATTCACTCGAAAACTACTGTGGCAAATTGCAATTAACTTTCAAACTTCTTTCTTTGGGCCTTTTGTCTTCAAACTGGCCACAATGGCCGGCTTGTTTGGCGCATCTGAAATTAAGTATACATCAAGATATAACACTAGTTCTGATGTCATTTGAGGATGTCGGAAATTTAGGTCATTTGACATTGACGGGTGAATTTAATATTCCTTTATTTACAATAGGCGTATTAAAATTCTTAGATTTTCGCCAATTCGCTGTCGGTTTTGTACAAAGCACTCATAACAGTCAGACAAATTTGTCAGTCGTTTGGAATAATCCACTTTATCCAAACAATTTATTCTAATTGCCTTTACTTTATTGATTGCTTTTGCATAATGTTCTTTTTCGCCGATGGAGATTTACCTATCTGTGTGAAATAGAATTCAGTCAGGTATAGTCAGGAGTCCATTCCTAGTAATGGGCTCCTGGTATAGTCGATGTTTCTGAAGTGATACATGTCCTGATCTTTTGACGGGAATTTTAATGCTGTCGCCAACGAGCTTCGCCGAATGATTTCGTCTAGTGAGCTATATAGAAGGACACTAGAAAATGTCAATGTCTCTCATAGGAAGAATAAGGCCTCACAATATGCCACTTTGGTTGGATTTTTTGTTTGACTTACCACACGTACAAAAGATAGACTGGAAAAAAAATCTATGGGGGACTAATTAGATAATCGTTTTGTTTCCCCTGGGCCTTGTCATCAGTCCTTCTGTGCGTGATAATTCCAGGGYATCGAAAGTAAACCAGAATATCGAAAGTATAGGCAGTTTATTATAGCACTAAAATATCATTGCCATAGAATATTTAGTTTGTCGGACGTATGTCCTGTCCGGCGCAGAGAGTTGGCAAAGTGTCCCTTCAAAAGCCTACGCATTTATGATAGGCCGGTTTGTTAAAACTTCAATTAAATTAGAGGTATCACTGTATATACACAGGAGGATGAACTAACAGGGTTTTCAATAAAATATCATTAGTTCGATCCGCGCAATCAATCCATCATTGTTTACATTTCTTAATCTTGTTCTTGTATCTGTATTCGTTTATGCGTGTAATTTTTAAGAAACATAAATAAATAAAAAATAAGAAAACATTGCTTGTTCCTTTCCGAGAATTTCATTGTGCTGACGCTAAAGCTTTAACAATGAAATTCAATGTGTATTGCCGAAATAAGGGTTTCTCAGCGAATGCAATTTTCTTGAGGGTATAACTCAATAGAATGTAAAATTAAAAATATATGATAAGTACATATAAATATATCTTTGTGACTATTTGCACCTGTATGTTAACTTTGTTAAATTTGAATTTTTATTTACGTTAGAAATAACTAGATATGAAATGATCTTGATCATGAAATCATGCATTGCAAGTATACGAAAAAAATAATATTAATGATGAAAATACTATTTTCACTTCAAGCTGCGGATGTTGTTCATATGATTTCGTTTCATGTCTGTTTTTGTTGCTTTTGCCTTTTTTTTCGTTTTCCGTATTTTTTCGATTTTTATTTTCTGATTCAATGTTAACATCTGTAGAATCCTAACTAGACTCAGTTCAAAAATCGACCAATACATTAAAAAAGCCAAAAATAACTTAATATATAACAGCAGGCAAAAATTATCATAATCAATAATTATTATAATATCAATTTACTGCTCAGTTGTAGGAAATTGAATTCGAAAGAATTTGACGTGGATTTGAAGGGCATTGTTAGTGAATTATTTATGAGACAAACCAACGCAAATACAGCTTGTTTCCCAGTATGTTTAGGACCAACCGCAGTACGCACATTTCCGTATATAATTCAAACTAGAAGCTCAATGGGAAAGGCGTGCTTCCTAGCATCAGGTTATCTTGGAGAGATTTCAAAGATTATATGGTGAACGTGAGGTGATTTTTTAAGAAGGGCAAGAAGTACGTGTCATTTAGAGTGCTTTTTTTGTTGTGTCGTAAGTTCTAACGTAAKTTCGCTGGCTCATGGATATTTCACTGTGCTATTTACATATCGGAAAAGACATTTCAAACTGTGTCTTGAGAGCCAGGATTCATTTATTGATTTGGCAGTGAGACTTTGGTCAATATTGAAAATATTTCGAAGTTTTGGTTACAAGTTTCCTAACTTAACTGCAAAATATGGACAATTTTTCTGTGTTGAATAACACAACAACATTAAACACCTTGAACGGACACGTTGTGGACTCTCGTTCGGTGACAGACATCACAGTTGAGGCAACTCTTCTTGGAATCATAATCTGCACTTCAATATTTGGAAATCTTCTTATATTGACAGCAATTTACCGATTCCCAAGTCTCAGGACTATAACCAACGCATTTGTCGCTAATCTAGCAGTGGCTGACTTACTACTGTCGTCCCTAGGCATGCCTTTTACAATGACCTCTTCAATTACCTACACATGGGTTTTTGGTAATGTCATGTGCAACATACAAGGAGTTATCAATTCGCTATTTTGCGAAGCATCTATTTTGACATTAACATTTGTRAGTTTAGAGAGGTTCATTGCTATTATTTATCCAATGAAATACCAAACCTTAATAACATCGCGATCTATGAAGATCTTGCTTTGTGTCATATGGGTACAGGCCCTCATCTGTGCTACCTCGACTTTCTGGTTGTCGCGTTTTCGATTTCTTGAGTTTGAGCATATTTGTACTGTTGATTGGTCACATCAACCGGTATATACACTTGTTTTCTCAATTGTATTCCTATATTTGCCTTTTCTAATAATGATGATATTCTATGTTTTAATACTTAAAACTGCTTTGCAACAGAAACAAAAAATAGCAGATATAACTGTAGGGGAAATCGGTAATGATGCCTGCCTACGAAAACCAAGCAAGAAAACCAACTTGATAAGTTTTAAAGAAAAACGAAAAGAGCACAAAGCTACAATAATGATTGCAATTGTGGTTGGAACATTCTCAGTYTGTTGGTTTCCCCATGCGATTGGAGTGTATTGCCTTACATTTTCAAATTGTAAATGGGGAGATTCGTTTTTCGTTGTAACAACATGGTTGGCTATGCTGAACAGCGCACTGAATTCCGGCATTTATGGCCTTCTAAATACACGTTTCAGAAGAGCCTTCAAAAGCGTTRTATGTTGTGGTCGATATACTGATCAGGATATTAATACAATTGCCTTGGAAAAGTCGAAACGCTCACAAATGAAATAGAGCATAATTGTCTTATTTAGATAACTGACTTATAAGAAATCGATGGATAAGAATCTCTTCAGTTTCAATTCAATTATTTTTGTGTCCTACTCATAGGTAATACTAGTAAATTAAGCATTTATTGAGATAAAGCAAATGTTCATCTTGGTGAATATATATTCAGTACACCAAAATGTTGAARTGCGTTTTCAGTTTATATAATATCTTCTAGTTAATACTTATTCTTAAGTGACAAACAGGCTGTATATGTTTATGCATACATAGCATKCAGGCTAAATATAGTGCGGAACCCTTCCCTTTTCGTCCCCTCTAGTCATATATGAATGTTTACTGTCATCTAATTGGGAAGTGCATAAAAAATGCGGAAATTCATTCTCGTAAACACACTTAGGCACAAGAAACCTATAACAGCTGCAGTTATTCCTGAAGTCCAAACGAAAACACGTATGAGAGACTACACTATAATGTTAGAGCGTACACAATTTTTAAGACGTTAATAAACTGATAATTARSTTATCGTCAGATCACTTTTATGCTACCAATGTGACACGCCAATATCTTAATTAGTCTTAATTTTTAATGTTCAAGACTTTTTGACGCAAAAAGAGAAGAGATGAAAGAGAAAACAATAAAGTCATAAAGACAGTGACTGTCATTTTTTTACGGTTGAATACAGAGACGTCAAGAATCCACACTTCCTGACCACTCACCAACAAGAGATCTAGCTCTWAGCACGTTCTATGGAAAATATATGGTATGTACTTCTAAGACAATAGATAAGTAGACTGATGTAAATGACTTCTAATGCTAAGTGCATCCTTGATGAGTCACATAACTGAAAAATCGTTGTCAAGAAGCCTATGAACAAAGGGGTTTTTCGATACTTGCAAATTACACTGTCTGCCTTACTCCTAATTCCAAGAAACGTTGTACATGCATTACAAATATGAACCAAATTTGGCTCAGTGGACAGTTCAGATCAGTTTTGGACAGTGTTGATGAAATGAAATACTTGTTTKCAATTATCTATTATTTAAATATAGTATTTCCTCTTGCCTTCCCGTACTCCTTTCGGTTTTTAACTTTGAAAATCTTTTAGAAACCGAAAACGTTTTCTCAATAGCTTCATTCATGACAGCCGACATGATAGCTTTAGCGCGGTCTCTCGAGGTGCAAGCATTTGATGAAACGGTGAATTATGAGCGATTGCGAAGCTTTAGACCATACATCCTTCCATAACTGATCATTTTCAGCCATTCCAATGAGATTCAAAAGATAAAAGACCAGCGGCCATGTTGGATGAATGACAATAGATACTTATGAGAAATCCCTCCAAGATGGCCTCTCATAACATCAATACATGTATCTGTAAATTTTGAAATTTGGGAATGTATTTTTTTATTTCAATGTTAAAAAAATCTAATTGTATTAAACGAACTAGTAGATAAAGAAGTTAAATTATAAAAACAAATTAATAGTGGATTTATTCATTGGATAATCACTTTTCCATGTTTAAATAAACTAGAAAACTGTATTGGGAAACTGCAGACACATGCAATTGAGCTTGTTATTGATTTCAGCCTAGATAAAACCATCATGGACGCTATTCTGAAAATAAACCTTATCATCTACAGACAAATTTCAACTTGTGATATATTTATATATTGACGGATTGATGAACTGTAACTGTAAAAACTGTAAAAAATATATATTGGGTATATGGGTATTTGAATAACGCATACTAGCTAAGCATATCAACTAGACAATATACAATTAAATTAAAACTATTGAATTAGGGCCTGATTATAAAAAGACGACTGACCACTTGGCCCTGAGTTCAATGTTTTTTGTTTGTTTGTTTTTCTCGTTTTTTTATATTATTTATTTGCAGCTTCTTTTTTTTGTTTTGGTTCTGTTTTGTTTTTATTTATTCAATTTTTGATTATTTGTTTTACTTTGTTTTTTTGTGTGTGTGTTTGTGTTTTTTTGTGTTCTTGTTTTTTTTTTTTTTTGTCGTGCTCTTTTCTCCTAGGGGACACAAAGCAAAAGATAACAGCAAAGTAAACCGGATCTTCCCACTTCACGCCCTTAGGGAGCTGTCTACAATGGTAAGTTCAACTTTGGAACTTTCATATACACGAAATGTACGTTTTTTTAGATCTGAGTCAGTTGTAGCAAAAGAGTGGTCGAGGTGTTTGTATTGAAGTAAGTTGTCATGTATAGGGTTCCCCTATGAAAAGTGCTATATAAATAGATCAAGATGTTAGCAATCAAAATAAACAGAAATTATTAAAAATAGTTTGGAGGAAATGAAAGAAATGACTAAGAACATCAATATTTCATCTTGAGTTTAAATAAAACAATTTCATCTCACTTCGCGTTAACGAAATATATTGCCTAACTTATAACACAGTACCACATATCTATATTAAATCGACGCAAAACAATAAGAGCTGATTAAAAGAAATTAAAAGAAAGTTTTAAAGAAATATCTAAACTTTAACTTTCTTTAATGACATTTTGCAGTTGGATTAATTCTAGTTTCTCATCTATTTAGGTCATCGAATAGCATAGTATAGTCAACTTTCGCTATAACGGACACCCTCGGGACCGTAATTTAGTGTYCGTAGTAGCGAGAGTCCGTAGTAACGAGAGTTACTTTCAGTCATTTCTTTGTATTGTTCGCCGGGGATCCAGTATTTTACTGTCGCAATATCGAGATGTCGGTTGTAGCGGGGTGTCCGTAAGGCGAGAGTTGACAGTAGCTGGATGAGGTCAAAATGAGTTGATTAGAATGATGTAATGCAATAACAGYCATAGAAATATCTAGATTTTCTTTAATTACATTTTGCAATTAAAGTACTAAAGACTATACGGATCCGAGTATACATC